CATGCCACAGCATCTCAATCGGATTCAGGTCGGGACTTTGACTAGGCTACTCCAAAGTCTTCATTTTGTTTTTCTTAAGCCATTCAGAGGTGGACTTGCTGGTGTGTTTTGGATCATTGTCCTGCTGCAGAACCCAAGTGGCTTTTCGCCATTTGTGGATAATGGCTCTCACTGTGGTTCGCTGGAGTCCCAAAGCTTTAGAAATGGCTTTGTAACCTTTTCCAGACTGATAGATCTCAATTACTTTGTTTCTCATTTGTTCCTGAATTTCTTTGGATCGCAGCATGATGTCTAGCTTTTGAAGATCTTTTGGTCTACCTCACTTTGTCAGGCAGGTCCTATTTAAGTGATTTCTTGATTGAGAACAGGTGTGGCAGTAATCAGGCCTGGGTGTGGCTAGAGAAATTGAACTCAGCTTTCCAAAGATGTGATAAACCACAGTTAATTTTTTTTTTAACAAGGGGGGGCAATCACTTTTTCACACAGGGCCATGTAGGTTTTGATTTTTTTTTTTCCCTTAATAATAAAAACCTTCATTTAAAAACTGCATTTTGTGTTTACTTGTTATCTTTGTCTAATATTTAAATTTGTTTGATGATCTGAAACATTTAAGTGTGACAAACATGCAAAAAAATAAGAAATCAGGAAGGGGGCAAACACTTTTTCACACAACTGTATGTCCGCGGAGTGGATGACAGTTTTGACGTGATGGAGGAGTTGCTCACAGTGATTCCAATGCATGGCCAGACCACTGCTCAGGAGATATTCAGCCAGCTGTGTGATGCCATTGTGGATGCCGGTTTAACATGGAAGAGGTTTGCTGGAATAACAACCGACGGAGCACCATCAATGACAGGGAGGAAAAATGGACTGGTGGCACTTGTTCAAAGAAAACTGGAAGAGGAGGGTGTGGAGGAGGCCATTGCTCTGCACTGCATTATCCATCAGCAGGCCCTTTGCAGCAAATGCCTGAAGTTTGACAATGTGATGTCTGTTGTTGTGAAATGCATCAACCATATTAGATTCAGGGGCTTAAAGCACCGGCAGTTCCGCGCCTTTTTGGAGGAAATAGAGTCAGCATATGAGGATGTCCTCTACTTCACCGAGGTACGTTGGCTCAGCAGGGGAAACGCCTTGAAGAGGTTCTTTGAGTTGAGAGCAGAAGTGAAAGCCTTCATGGAGAAGGATGGGATGGCTGTTCCTGTGCTAAGTGATCCCAAATGGCTCATGGACTTAGCTTTTCTTGTTGATATCACACAGGAGCTGAATGTACTGAACAAGAAGTTACAAGGCCAAGGGCAGCTTGTCAGTGCTGCCTATGACAACGTCAGAGCATTCTCCACACAACTTGTGTTATGGAAAGCCCAGCTCTCTCAGACAAACTTCTGCCATTTCCCAACATGCAAGGCACTCATGGGTGCAGGCACACCATTCAGTGGTGAGAAGTATGCTGATGCCATTGTAAACCTACAGGAGGAATTTGATCAGAGGTTTGCAGACTTCAAGACACACAGAGCCACTTTTCAAATTGTTGCTGACCCCTTCTCCTTTGATGTGCAAGATGCCCCTCCTGTGCTTCAAATGGAGCTCATTGACCTGCAGTGCAATTCTGAACTCAAAGCCAAGTTCAGGGAGGTGAGTGGAATAGCAGACAAGCTTGGACAATTTTTGAGAGAATTGCCCCCCCACCTTCCCAGGATGTTCAAGCGGACCATGTGCCTTTTTGGGAGCACATATCTGTGTGAAAAGCTCTTCTCAACCATGAACTTTAATAAGTCAAAGTACAGGTCCAAACTTACTGATGAGCATCTTCAAGCCATACTGAGGGTCTCAACTGCTTCCTTCCTCAAGCCAAATGTGGCTGAGCTGTGTGAGAGGAAGCGCTGCCAGGTCTCTGGTAGCAAGGAGTAAGCAAGAGAAGCCTATGTTCTGAAGAACCGTTCATGTTCTGAACTGTTATTAATGAAGATTGGATCAGTTGTACTTTTTTTTGGAATACTTGATACCCAGACTCTACCCCCAGCGGCCCCCAGGTAAGTTGAGTTTGAGACCCTAGCTTTGTTACTTGGATGGATGTTAAATTGAATGTTTCTGGCATGATTATGGGAAAGCTCCACTTAGTGAGATTTGAGACGGATGGATATAATATTGATATACTTAATGCTTTGGGGGATTTTGACTTGAATTTTTCTTGCTAATCATTGCTCCATAATACAATAGCTATACCTCAAGTGGACATCAAGACAATAGCATATATTCGCCCCATGAGAAAGTGGCTTAATCTGGTGCTAAATAGTAAAAACTACAATTCTGAAGCCAGGGCTCTAGATAGATATATTAGAATGCATAATTCTATGCTGTAATGGCCGTGAGATCAAAAGATGTGGTTTTAATTGGTTTTATTGGCCTAAATTGTTGCTCTCAAGGGTCTGAATGTCCGTGTTTTGGCTACGCAGTTTATTATAGACTTATAGGAGCTGAGGTTGAACTTCCAAATTCAATTAAAAAAAACGGCAGAGAGCTTAAGTAAAAGAGCAGGTGAAGCAAGTCACAGATCTTTTTCTCAGGAGTTGGTTATCACCAACCCAAAGCTACAAGGAAAGTCAATATGGGACTTGAATTCAATGTGTCAAAATATCCCAATAGAATGCTCAGGCTGTGTTCTGCTGGATGTGAAAGGAGGTCATTCAATAGTTCACTAATTGATAATTTTTTAATGGAAATTCTTGGACATTTTTTGTTAACAGCTGGTCCTTGATATCAGACAGATGTAGACAAAGGCAGGCTGAAATGACAGCAGTTGGATCTGATGAGCTGTAGCTATAGCATGCTAACGAATATCAACTCTTTATATCGTTTCCTGCTGGCTCGTTTGAAAACCAGAAACCTATTGTATAAACGTTTGTAAGTATGCATTTTATAGCTACATACATCACATTCTCCTAATTGAGTGCTACGTGATAACACTAAAAAAACATCTCGTGCTAAATTATACAGGCCCCAAGCCTAATATAAATACTTTTTTAAATATTATTATTTGTATTATTAAACTGATGACAGGGGCTACCATGCAGGATTCATCAGGAGTCTAACTACACAGTTATCTATACACTTAACCCCAAGTTGCTCCCGCAGGCACAGCCTACCCAAGGACACATCAACATGGACTAACGAAGCCGGGGATGGAGCCGCCTACCCTCTGATTAAAGGACTACCCTGCTCTACCACTGAGTCACGGTCGCCCATAGTCAGTGTGGACGAGTCTTTCTTCCCTCTTGATGTCAAATAGTCCTTAATGCTGGTTGAAACTATCACACACGCACACGCCTGGCTATTTGAAGTTCATAACATTATGAAACAAATTCACATTTCTGAGATGAGAGCAGCTACCCAAAACTACGGACATTTTAAAACCAGAGAGAGAAGTGAACAGGTCAGGGTTAGTAGACATCTTTATTAAATCTCCACAAACACTGTCAGGACCACAACATCGAGCAGGATATTCACTGAGACTGGTGATATAAATGAGAGCTGGGCTGTTCAACATGTGTCTAGAAAGAGTCGCAAAAGTAAAGATTACGTCCACCAGCTCCCCCTACCCCAGCTCAGCAGGGGCCTCGCCTCACAACCATCAATCCCAGAGCCACCGAGGAGGAAGCAGCGTTTGAAGCTGGGGAAACACGTCTCAGTCTCTTGGACCATCAGCACCGATTCCCCTCAATGCTGCGTTCTTTCCCCTCTACTCTTCTCTTTGTACACCAACAGCTGCACCCCTACTCACCGGTCCGTTACACTCCTGAAGTTTGTGGATGACACCGCCCTAATTGGACTCATCTCTGGTGGGGATGAGTCCGTCTATAGGTAGGAGATCGACCATCTATTGACCTGCTGCAGACAAAACAACTTAAAAACGCCGTAAAGACAGTGGAGATGGTTGAGTTCGCTGTGGAGTCCTTCAGCTTCTGGGGCTCCATCATAACCCAGGACCTCAAGTAGGAGCTGAAGAAGTCCAGCCTGCCAAAGACAATGATGGTGCACTCCTACACTGCCATCACTGAGTCCTTCCTCACCGAGTCCACCACACTGCAGCCACTGCCAAGGACAAGGGCAGACTGCAGTGTATCATTCACTCTGCTGAGAGGGTGATTGGCTGCAATCTGCCATCCCTCCGTGACTTGTTGGACCGTGAGGCGGGCAAGAACAATTGTGGCTCACCCAATTATTTTGAATTATGTCTCTATACTATTCCACTGTGTTTATTGTAATGCACCAATCACCAAGTCAAATTTATTTATTAAGTGCAAACATACTTGGCAATAAACCGTTTCTTATTCTCTGCAGTTGCACCTAATTTATTGGATAAAGAAGCCAACAAGCAATTTACTCTTCTCTCGGTGGGAAATAATTGTTTCAGCTCAACTAAAAAGTCCGTTATTTTCATAACTAGAGTGCAACTTGAATATTCACTTAATTTCACATTCATATAGAGAATCTGTTGATGGCAAAAACCCGTAACTCAACTTCTGACTGTCAATCTTATGTCTAACCTATTTCTAACATTGCTAAATTCTTTATTCTTTGTGTTTGGTGTCTTATATGCTTGACCATGTAGTTTTTCTTCTTTCTGTTCCAGGCTGGAATGATGCTTGATAATGGAGTAAAGACCACCCAGGCAAACGACAAGGACAAGAGACCCTTCCTGTCTCTGATTGGAGCCAGGTCAGACTGTAACAAGCAAACACCCTGTATGACAAGCTGATGTCACATCACACCCAGTATAATTCAGCATGACGGATTCACAGTCTGTAATGGTCATGTTTGCTGTTGACGGTTTGAAACAAACAAATGTTGGTATTTTAAAATGGAATCAAAGCAGGGAGTGTTTTTGAAATCAACTCAAGAATAAGTGCAAAAGTAGAGCAGCAGGCTGTGTCATAGTTAGTCCCATGTGCTCGGTGTCATCTTGACCTCATCACTTCAATGTGAATACACCCTACACACCAGTCCCTTCTCACTTCAATGACGCTCTGCAAAGGGAGGACATGTTGTCTCTCTCAGAAAGCTTTCTCTCGGACTGTCAAAATCAACTTGTAATGGAAAGTGATCCTGACTGGACAGGAACAGCAGAACTCTAAGTTATTCTGTCCTGCTGAAAGAATATGAACACAAATCAATTAAAGCTGTAATCTTTAGGATTTTCATCATATCAAACCATATTTATGATCCTATTCAAGGATAGTATTTTTTCAGTGTATTTACATTGTGTAGCTGCCTCTATATTCAAATTGCATACTCATGCCAGGGCTGTGATAAGACCATGTCCAACTCAAGTCTAAAAACCTTTGCGCACCAAGTACATATTTTTGTATGCATTTTTATAATCCGTTATCTGATAAAAATTGTTACGCACAGAGAAACCTTGCACACTGAGTCTGAGGTGTTTGATTATTTGATTTGAAGCAAAACTGAATGAATTATGTGAGAGCGATGGATGGTGCTAGTTAGCAGAGCACAACCTCTACACAACATGAGGTTGTATTTATTTTTAAACCTTTAACAATTTTCTATGAAAACTACGGATTTGGTATGCAAAGGCCTTCAGTCCATGTGGAGTCGAACCAGAGTAAAACACAAAAGATAAGCAGAGCCCTATTGCAATAGATCTCTTACTGATGTTCAAAGGACTATCATATTCTGATCCAATCATATACTGATTATACAGAGCATATTTACATTAGTTTAGATATTTTAAAGTGGGTTTATGTTCCTTCAGAAATACAAATTGTTGCGTTTTATATGTTTTTCTAAATGTTTAACTCTAAGAAGAAAAATAGAGTTCTATATAAAATACATGTGTATTGCACAACGTTTGTAATTAGTTACTTTGCAGCCCTGCATGCACAGCACACTCATAGGTATACAATGCATCTCAATACAATGACATTACAAGTGAACACTGTCATCTCTTCTCTGTGTGTCTGTTGAATTGTTTAGGTATGGCCCCCACCAGGACGCTGATCCCTTCAAACCCAGAGTCCCTGCTCTAATCCACCATTTTGTAGCCTATAAGAACCAGGACCACGGAGCCTGGCTGAGAGGAGGGGATGTCTGGCTGGATGACTGCCAGTATGTAGGCCTACGACATTGATACAGTGATGGAGATCTTTATCAATTAGTTGACTGAATGTATGTTTGTCTGAGGGAAGTTTGTGAACTCACACTTATTTAATACCATCATTATGTTCATGCAGCACAGGTTGTTTTCTATTGTGCATGTGTGCAAAAGGGAGAAATTCATCCTATATCTAATAAGAATGCTAACCTTCAGAGTGTGTGCGTGTGCGTGTGCGTGCGTGTGTGTTCATTCACTGGAGACCTCAGACTGTTGCTGTCCTCACAGTGATAATATTCTCTCTTTCTTGTTTAGATTTGCTGATAATGGCATTGGCCTCACTCTGGCGAGGTATGAGCCCCCCCCCCCCCACCACACACACACACACACACACACGGTTCATATCTCTATGGACAGAAATAATGGACTTGTGTTTGTATTTACCAGTGTATGCATGATCCTCTCTCTCTCACCCTGTCTGTAAGAGTAATTGGAAAACACCTTATAAGGAGTCTGTTGGGGATGCACTGGGAAAGAGAGCACTTTGATGCAGTGTAGGAAGTCATTTATGGGTGTGATGGTCACAAAGGTGGGAATTGGTGAGACGTTTTCATCAGACTTTACAAAACAGGGTGTCCAGATGAAAACAGCATGTATGAGTCTTTAAACGCCAGCTTGGTGTCTCAGTGTGTAAGGGGGAACAGAGCTTTGGCAAAATAATGACGTAAGGCAGCTGTGTGCCAGTACAGTTAAAAAAGATGAGCTTTTGTCATCTCTAACAATCTCTGCCGTCATTCTTTTTAGATGTCAATATAGCTAAATACATAGCTTCATTGTTTCAGGTCAGCTGGGCTGTCTGTCCCAATTCTTACCACATGTTGACTGGAATACACAGAAAGATGAGATTCAGCCATTTTATGTTGTGCAGGTCTTTTAATAACACCTAATGTGAATGCACATTTAGATACATACACAAAAATGGCTTTAAGTACTACCTGTCCAATGTGTTGATAGGCAGAGAGACCTGATGGGCATGATGCTCATGTGCTTAAAGGCTCGCCAGTTATTTAGTGTAACACTTACATGAAGTTTAGAGAGACACAAGACACAGATTTAAAAAAGAATAACTGTGCAGCATAGGTTGAGATATCCTGACCTTCAAGGGAAATTCACCACCTTCATATAGATGTCCAATCATTGCTGATGGTAAATGTAGTCCACATAAGAAATCAATTCTCCACTGCCGCTATATTGACGGAGAAAGCTAATCTCTCCTGCTGCGGCGACAACATCCAACACAACTGCCAATGCTGACATTCATTAATGTAGAATGATTCCATTTATGTTGGCATCTGAGGGAACATTTGAGCAAAGTCTGGACCAGTCAGTGTTGAGCCACAGAAGACATTATACGGCTGTCTTCTCATGCCGAGTAGTACGAGCCATGACGGGTACACTGATCTGGTTCCCCTTTAATACCACTCTGTACTTGTTACATATAAACATTGCTACACAGAGAGATATCAAAAGATCTCATGTGCATACGGCATCGAGCTGCAGCTAGCTAGCTTAATAGTTTTAGCTTCAGCTAACTGCAGTGATGGATGGTAGACAGACGCCCTGTACATTCTAAGTTCCGCCTCACACTGTGGATTACAGAGAACACTGCAGAATGCTGTAATGCCGTACGTTCATTCTTCAAAATGGTTTCAGCTTTCAGGTTTCTCATTTTCTAGTTCAGTGACTTTATCACTAACTGTTTAGAATTTAGAAATCATTTAGAAATACCACTGGAACAATATGCACTGTGTGATTTATCATTTATAGTCTACTTTCCCTTTTGATTATCACAAAAATGTATAATATTTTTAAAGTGTGCTTTTAATACAAACATCTTACTGTTGAACTTTGTGCTCCTACTATAAGAACTCTTTACAATGTACTGCAGTGTCAATGAGCTTTTCTCTGTGACTTCTAGCCTCAGGTCATCTTACAGTAATGTTAAAAGGATTGTAAATCCTTCTTAAGCTTAATAGATGTTTCCCAAAAACACCTTATCTTAAGATGCTCCTAAACCGAAGTTATACAAAGGTCCACTAGGGTCCATGTAACCATGAATGTCTTCATCAGAGGGTGTGCGTGTCGGCTCTGTGGACATCCGGGGACCGTGGTGACCTCGTAGCGCCCCTCGTGTCTGCAGCTGTCTGTGTACATGTCCGTGTATCCGAGGTGTTAGAAGTGTCATAGATTTTAAAGTACCTCCTACCCACTCATAGAACGAGCATCTGAAGAAAATTACAATAGTTTTATTGTTTTTCTCATTTATTGCATGATATAGTCTTTTATTTTACCATGACCATTAATGCTCCTTTGTTACGTGTTGGAAAAGGACACAAAACTAGGCTAACACACACACACATACACACTCAAAAATGATACAAATAAATAAAACAGTTATTGATACT